GAGAGAGGTAGCTGCAGGGGGGCCGTTAAAAAATAATCGCTTAGGGTCGTCGGTTGCCGGCGGAGCCGTCACCCCGGCACGTGCGAAACTTTAATGACTTTCGCTCGACGTAACGCCGCGTCTCCCGCTTCTTCCCTGCCCCATTTCCTTGACCCCCGGTATGTAAACCGGCCGAGGCTCGCGCGCGCGGGTCCACTCGTGCGGCGAACCGACCGACGCCATCGCGCCGGAGGAGATAATCCACTTCACCGGGACGGGCTGAACGCCGGCCGACCGATACCCAGCGCCAACCCTTGCCCCGCAGACGATCGGATCGACGATAAGCGCCGGCTTCTCTCTTTATTAATTCACCGAGCGTACACCTTATCTTCGGCTACCGCCCGTGCGCCGTCCAGCTCCTCGTAAATGGGAGCGGATACCGCTTCCTTCGGAAGCCACGGGGAAAGCGACACGGATAACCAGCCGATCGCGTTTGCCACGGAACCCGCGAGCGACGGCGCGCTATTAGTCTCCGGAACTTTGACGTTTCGCCGCTCTTATCGGGGGGACGTTGTGATTCTGATTTTCTGCATCGTGCGGTGCGAATCAGTTTCATTCGGTCGTTAATAAACTGTTTCGTGGAGCCATCGCGCGGAACACTGCGGGGACTTTGATAGGAAATCGACGGAAGCTAAACCAAGCTCGAGAAATCAACGGTTGATACTATTAACACTGTCAAGTAGACACTTTTCGAAACTTCTGTGCAGTCGGAAAAATTCTCTTAACCCTTTGAACTCTGTAGGCTCCAATATTGCACCAGTTCTAATATTAGATATTTTAATAAATTTTAAGAAAACTAAGATTATTAGATCTTCCACATATACAAAATTTGCACTAAAAAGGGAATTAAAGGTCTAAGAAGTGTTATAACATTGTTAATTTTCAGTAGGACTACTATCAAAATTGGTAGGAGTTGCTGACATATCACAAAACTATGTGGAGTACAAAGGATTAATAAAGCGGAAATGAGAAAATGAAAATTCTTTATAACGATCGCTCTATTGTCTTCATGTATCTCGTTTATATCTCACGCATCCAACAAAATTCGATTCGTTCGATACGTCGCGAAGACAATGAATGTTTAACCCTTTGCGGACGAACGTCGGCATTTTGCTGAGATCAAATTTCCATGTCCGGAATAGCAAGTTACGAACAAATGATTTAACTGTTCGAACAGTAAGAAATCGGTACACAGTTTCATTGTCCTCTATGATTTAAGCGTTGAATGTTCAATTTAGCAGAAGCTGCGAGAGATTTTGAATACCTTCGACGATCTTCGTCCGCAAAGGGTAAAGTTTATGTAAAAACTAATGTCACCGAAGTTGAGTGACACGGTAATCTCAACGGAACAGTGTCGAACGATTCGAACGAACGAATCCGACTGGAACAGTTACGGACGAGCTTGGTGCGTAGACGCGGCGATAACGAATCGTCGAAAGGGTGGCGGCATAGTTGGAGGTCGGCCCGAGGAATCGTGCATTTAATTGCTATTCCCCGAGTTCGGCGTGTCTCGTCTTACCGCGTTAATCGGCCGCGGCTGCGAGCCGACGCTCGCACGGAAACGACCCAGCCGTGCATTCTCCGTCCAGTTCTCCGCTCGTCCCTCTCTCACTCTCTCTCTTCTGCTGTCGTGGCCGAGGTTCCCATCGCAGGTTTCAGGTCGTGCGTCTGACGAGACGGGAGAGAGAACGGGAACGATCCCGCAAAGTTCGATCGGCGAACTTTGACGGCCAGTCGAGCCGTAACTTTGGACGCGTTCAATATTTCCGAATACGCGGGGCCCACCCTTTCACGGCACGGCAGCAGCGCCTCGGGAAACTTATATACGTGATTTGTGGCCTCGCTTCACCCCGGGGCTCGCCGGTCCAGATAAATCCACTTCGGTCAATTTTTTAGCGGTTCGCGAACAATCGTTCGCCGGCGCCCGACGGGGAGCTTCGACGCGGCGCGCGCTCTCCGCGCGAGATACGGTGAAATATCGCGCGTCCGTCTAACCGGGGATCTCCCGTCGGGACAACAGAGTCGGCTTTCTAAAGGAACGAGGGCGCCATTTCTTTAGCGACTAACGTGAATACGTTAACCGCGGCACGACGACAGCGACGAGAAAGCTGCGCTCGTTTCCCGAAAGACCGCTAGCGACGGCCGTAGCTTAGAATCGTTCGAGTTGTCGATTGTTCTTTTGCCAGTCGTTTTTCCCCGCGAGACGAATCGCTAATTGGTGCCAGTTAGAGTTTACCGTCCGTCGATGGGGAATCGAAACCGTCAACTCCCATCGTTTTGCGTTTTATTCCCCGGCTTTATGGTAGCTTCCGCGCGATATCGTCTGTTTTAGAGCGGAACGCGAAGCCGGATCGTGACGGCCGGATAAAAAAGCGCAGATGCGATTGCGACTATCGACGACAGTGTCCCGGAGTCAGCGGGAACGACGCTCCTCTCGGTCCATAAGTGCGCGAAAGCCGATATCGCGGTGGGTTGCGTTTTGTATCGGCTTTCACGGATATCGTCGACTCGCCTGTCAGACGGAGCTCGACGTTGACCGCAAATGGTTGGAGGAGACGCGAGGATCCGTCTTGACGCGTTAATGGGTGTCTTGTTCCGCGGTACGGGAGCGAACCGTCGAGAGCACGGGGGGAGGGAGTGTCTCGCGGAGGTTCCGAGACGTAACGTTAAAGCGCGATATAGATCGAGGATGATAAAAGAACCAACGTCCGCGGAACGTGACGCGGACAAGCTTCGAAATTAGATCGTCCAGCGATCCGTATGCGGTTCGCAGCGTGTTTGCGATTGCGATCGTCGGACTAATTTTCGAGAGCACCGACAGAGGTTCCAAGCTGTCCTGTTTCATTTCGAAACCAATCTGCGAAAAGGACCGCATCCCCGCGCCCTCGGTCGGCCGACATCTACGCGTCGCTCCAGTTCCCGACGCGCTGGAAAAACACATCTCGAATCGCGGAAAATCATTGAATTAAAAACGTCCACCGGTTCGGCCCGAATTCCGCGGGAATACGGGGGCGGGGCGGAGGCCGCGGGGAAATATGTTCCCGAAAATACTCGACTCGAAAGCGCTTCAAAGAATACTCGTCCGGAATACGGTGGCGGTAATCGATTTGCCCAGTGGGACGCGTTCGATCGCGACGAGGAGCAGTCACAGCCAGACACGGTAAATATCGTTGTAACGTTTCCACGCGGAAAACGTTTAATAAGCGACCGCTGAAATCGACAGTGCCCGGAAGCGATCCCGTTACGTACTCCCCGCTGGAATCCGGCCTCGCGTTTCTCTGTCGCGCCGACGGGCGCGTCGACGACGAGCCGCGTCGCGGGGCAACGTGACGTTAATACGTTCCCGGCGCAAGACGTACGCGATCCCCTGATAATGGCCGGCTCGCCGGTATTCCGCGGGCTATCTGCGACCCAAATCGAAACGCGTACGCGACGCGGCGCTCGAGTCATCGATATTGACCGGCGGTCGGGCCGCCGCGTTAATTACACTTCAGACGTTGCCCTCCGAGGAACGCCGTCGGATAATTGCCGCATTCGTTTCGGCCGAATTTCGGATTCCGTTCGCTCGAAAGGCGAAAACGAGTCCGTCCGCGCGAGAAGATTCGCGTTTAAATCTTCGAGGCGGTGCCGAATCTGTTGAATGGATCCCTGGATATCTGCCGCTCGCTGACCGGTGTCATTCTTCCATTCGAAAGGAATATTCGAGAGTATTCAAGGCTCAAACGGCGGCGAGAGGGAATTTCAAAGACGGATGAGCGAAGCGGGAGTACCCGGCTCCGAAGTTGATCGGAATTACGTTAATTACTTTACCGAACGTCTTCCAAAGGCGGGCTGAATGGGGCGAGGTCCTTCCATAATGGCCCTCTTCACCGTAGCATCCGTTCATTGTTACCGTTGATGCTATTGCGTGCTTATCTCCGACCTAAATTGCATCCACCGGATACGAGGGACCGGCCCGGCGACATTGACTGACGTCGAAACGCGGAAACACCCCGATAATTATGCCAGCGTCACGAGAGACGTCGATTAGAATCTGGCTCGGACGCGACCGATTCCATGTCCGCGGATTCCCCCGGCGACTCGTAATTCGGGTCGGCCGCGCGCAATTCCGATCAACCCCGCCGATTCCCCGCGATTTTTCGATTAAGCCATTTTAGGGTAGATCCATAGCGAGTTACTGTAGGCGACATTAATCGCGAGTGACGAGAGCACATTGAGAGTAACCGTTAATTCGACAATGTTTCCTTCTACTTGTCCTCGACGAGATACTCGTTTGACTCGTCCGCGGCTTTCATAGTTAGGAGAACCATGATTCTATAGAGAATCTTGAATGCGCACGTTTCAATGGCCACAGCGAGAAGCCTCGAGGAACGACGATCGCGATATTCGCTCGTAAGAAAAACACGCGGTAATTTCAGCGTGAAATGGAGACCTAACTTCGAACGAGGCCGAGGATCCGCTCGAAATCCGGTGGCCGCGGAGACGGCTCCATCGGTTTTCCGGCGGATCGTCGGGGTGGGGTTCCCCGACACGCGGAAGTGCCGATCGATCGCGGAAGGGATGAGGCGGCCGTAGTAACTAATAGATAGATAATTAGCGGATAATGAAGTAGCTTCCCGGGGGCTGGAAAAAATGCTCGATCGACGGGATAGAGCCGTTAATGATCGATCGCCGCTTTGTTCCTCGAGTTCGCGGTCAAAAGGAGCTTATTACGCTTATTAATCCGACTTGCCGGCTGATCGACGCTGCGCCGTCGAAGGACCGCGGAGGGGGCGGAGGGCGGAAGGCCGGGGGAGGGAGCGTCGCTCTCCTCGGCTTTGGTCGCCTGTCTCCGGCGTTCACGGTGATTCGTCGCGAAAAGGGTCCGTCGAGTGCCGGCTAATTAGATGAATAAGATAATTCCACTTTTCAGACGATGGAACAAAAACTAACCGGCCGTTTCCTCCGCTTTTCTTTTCCAGGTGCGGAAGATGTGTTCAGGTTTACGGGAAACGAGACGCACACAGACTACTTTCGGCTGGTGCTCCGGGACGGGAACTATCTTCTGGTCGGCGGAAGGTAAATAGAGGATTCATTTGGAGCGAGTGGTTTAATTAAAGGACCGGTTCTTCTTCTCCTTCTTTGCCACCGGTTCGAGGGCCCCGTGTGATCGACGTCCCGGCAGCCAGCCAGCCAGCCAGCACGCCGCGCCGGCTGGCCGGTCGCCTCTGCCCGCTCGCTCGGGCCCTTTACTTGTGTACGTGCGGGGAGTGAGTAGTATCCACTCCTCCTACGGGAAAGCTCGTTTCCGCGGACTTTCTTCCGCGTTCCTTATCCTTCCTCCCTTCTTCCGACTTTGCTTTCTCGCCGAGCGGCGCACCCCTTCCCTCCCGGTCGGACGATGAATTCCGAGGGCGGCCACGAGCCGCTGTTCTTCCCTGTTAATGAGATCGGCGAACTTTATTTAGAAACTTCTTTGTACTCTTTATTTCGCGAACCTTCGAATCCCAGGCACAACCGTGGAACGCGCGCTCCCCCGGCCGCCTGGCCGGCTCGTAGCCGGGATCTCTTAAAAAAACTTCCCTCTCGCGCGAAACAGGGGAAGACGTTACTCGTAATTAAAACGCGAGATACGGCGCGGCGAACGGCGCCGGGAACGGCGCTCCTTCCCGTAACATTTGGGTCGACGGAGAATTAGGTCTCGCCCGTGATTCCCATTTCCGTCTTGCGCCGGGGATCTTCTCGTTCCCACGGAAAAAGCCGGCCCTGATCGAACAGCGCTGGATCCTCGCCGTTCGATCAGCTCGTCGGCTCGTTCGTGTCGCGAGAGGGGAACGGAGTGAGTCGGCCGTGCGGCGGACTCGCGATAATTGGGTCGATCGCGGCCGTCGAGCGTGAACAGGTCGTTGCAGCGAACATCGCTGTCGTTGCTCGAATTACGCTAATTGTTCATCGATTTGCCGGCTCGCCGGGCGCGAGCTTTTTTCCCCGACATCGGTTCCGACCCGGTCGAGAACTCGCACGCGGAGAACGAACGTTCGCTCGCCGGCGACGCGCGGCCGGGAAGTTCCACGCGGAAAATATCCGACGGGAGATTCGAGCCGGGAATATTAATCTCGAGTCGCGCGTCATAAATCTATCGCCGCGTGTAATAAACGGATCGGGGCCGCGCAGCTGGAATCCTCCGCGGTTCCGCCGTTCGGCGTTCCGATCGACTTTTTCCCCCGTCCGCTCGACGCGACGCGGAGCAACGGACTGCGTTCCTCGCCGGTATCGACGGATTCGCGATGGATACGCGGGAAACGCGGGAGGACGCGAGATACTTTCTGCGCGGCGGTGATTAATACGGTGACATTCTTCCGTCGGGAACGAGGAAGTTTCTTGATAAAAGTACAACAACGGTCGATCGATTTGGAACCGCTCTTTCTCGTCGAATCCGCAACGAACCGACCCGCGACGGGGACGATCGCATTCGTGGAAAACCCGTGGCCGATCCGGCGGATCGCGAAGAGACAAAGAATCCGTCACGCGATTATCGGGCCAGGACACGATTCTAGGATCTTCCATTGGGGAACCACTCGAGCTATTCAGCTGACGTTGAAAAGACTGTCGCGCACAAAGGAGAAGGCCGGCCACTCGAACCGTTCAATCCCAGAAACCTCTTCTAGTCCAGCTTCTTCTTCCTCCTCTTCTTCTTCTTCTTCTTCGTCTTCTTCTTGTTCCTCTTCTCGTTGCAGAAATCTCGTGCACAACCTGAGCCTGACCGATCTGACCGAGCAGCAGAGGCTGACTTGGTACTCGACCGACAGTGACGTGAAGATGTGCCTAGTGAAAGGCACGCCCGAGGAGAACTGCCAGAACTATATTCGCATCCTGGTGAAGACCGACGCGAACACGCTGCTGGTGTGCGCGACGAACGCGTTCAAGCCGATGTGCCGGGATTACGGCGTCCACGCCGGCAACTACTCGATCCTGAAGGAGAAGATGGGCCAAGCGATGTGCCCGTACGATCCCCGGCACAACAGCACCTTCACCTACGTCGACGGCGAGCTGTACACCGGCACGGTGGCCGATTTCGCTGGAATGGACCCCATCATCTACAGAGAACCGTTGCAAACCGAGCAGTACGACTCGAAGAGCCTCAACGGTAAGTTATCGTCTCGACTCGTCTCCTTTCGTCTCGCCTCGTTTTCGGTGGCTATAAACGCTGTGGGATCCTCCGCGGAACGTGTACCGCGACGATGAATATATTTGACACTTCTCTCGACGTCAGACGCATCGAAAACAGACATTTTATCTTTCGTTAACGACCACTCTTCGGTTACCGAGTTCCGAGGGTGTGTTTATATCTTCCTTTACTCAAACTAACGTTCTGAATTGGCAAAGATACATTTTCTTGTGAAACACATAAGGATAGTTTTATAAGGGTAGTTTCTGTTAATAAAATATTAACCCTCTGCACTCGGGAGGTGACTCTCAGTCACTTGATTTCCTACAGTGAAGCTATAAAGTTTCATATTTAATATTATACTTCTAATGCATGAATCTGAGAAATATTGACGTAGAATACCTTTGTCCGTCAATTCACGTGAATTTCTCGTCGAGTTGGTTTCTCGAAATATCGTCTTCATCTCATTAGAAAATGTTGAAGTATTTCTAGCGAAAAACTTCGGAGTGCAAAGGGCTAATGACAATCAAGTTCCACGGAATCCCTAGAACCCGGTTATTCTAATTACATAAAGCTACTAGAAACACGAGTCTTTAGTCTCGGCTCCTACGATTCTAGCCCCCTATGCGACGGATCGATCGGACCCACCCCCGTCTATAAACAAAAAAGACTACTCTCCATAGCTGGAGGAAGCACGCGTGCAGAAAATGATAAGTAGGGTCGGAATGACGAATCGGCGACGAAAACGTCGATGTTAACGCGCGATTAAAAATTAAAATGCCGGCGGAACGGCCGCGACGAGTGCGGAGGGTAAACAGCTGGAGTGTTTTTGATAGCGGAAGCGGGTCGGTGGAACACGGTCGTTCCGCGAAATTTATCGCCGGGTATACTAAACGGTGCGCGCCGTCGTTTAGCGCGGAAAGAGGAAACTTTCCACTTCGCAGCGGGAACCGCGAACGGCCAACGGTTTTAAATTAAACGGGAAATTCCTCGCGAGAACACTTGCGCGAAGTTGTCTGGCGTCAGCTAAACGGATCGTTAAATCGAGACCGATCCCGCGACGGGACTTGACGGCCGAATTTCGTCTTCGCCTCTCCCTTCTCGATCTCCGCCGATCCGAGACGCCCGGTACGTACCCGTCGCGCGCGCTCGCGCGAGTATGCAAACACGGCGTGCCGTAAAACGTCCAGGCGGATCGCGAAGCGACCGGTGATTCCGGGCCGATCGTAATATCCGCCCCGTCGTTCGCCGCGCTCGCCTCGCCCGTTCGATTTGTTATTTACAGGACGGAGAGCTCCGAGGCGATCGGAGGCGGGTCCTGGGCTTCGAAAATCCTGGCCCGGAGCCATGGGCCCAGGATTCGCTGGGAAACCTCGCGAGATCGGTAGCCGCTGCGTCGCCGCGGCGGTTTCAACCCTTTGCACTCGAGAGGCGATTCCTAGTCGCCGTATTTGATGCAGCAAAGTTGTAACTATGTACTAGATCAATGCGTGAAATGTTGAAAGAACATAACTTTGTTCCCCAATTTATGTGTTTTCTTGATAAATTAATTTTAGAACATCTTGTCTGTGTAATTAGAAGGTATTGGATATTTCGAGTGAACAACTTTCGGTCGCCGTACGATTTGATACAGCAAAGTTGTAACTTTATGTACTAGATCAATGCGTGAAATATTCAAAGAAAATTGCTTTGTTCCCCAATTTATGTGTTTTCTTGATAAATTAGTTTTAGAACATCTTGTCTATATAATTAGATAGTATCGGGTATTCTGAATGAAAAACTTTCGAGTGCAAAGGGTTAACACTAGGTTTACCGGGTCATTTTCAACCATTTCGTACTTTGCGAGAGAGATTATACATACCGTGTACATTTCTTCTGATAATTGCGTCGATTTTTATTCATCCATTTCATAGTTTTATTTATAAGATAATCGTACATAATTATGTCGCGTTTCAACCCTTAGCAGTCCCTGAGTTTCCAATCTACCAGCAACTCCACATTTTTAGTCCTCGTGATGAATATGAAAAAATATAACATTTCTTAGATTTTTTGTTTGCTCTTAGGAAACAATTTGCGTGTGCAGCAAATGCAGTAATCATAGGATAGTTTTTTCACTTTTGATCATCGAAATGTTTAATAATATAAGTGGAGCCTACAAAGTGCAAAGGGTTAAGTTGTTCTTTAAACATATGTGGTTTTGTTTGGGTGAAATTGATTAGCGGCAGTAGAGATAGGTACATAAAAACGATTTTATACTGCAAAATGCACTGAATGGAGGAATGTAACATTAAATCATTTCATTGAATTGCATCATGATTGCACGCTGACCTTGCTCAATATCACCGCATTCGGTAGCATTGTTTATAATATAGAAATGTTGTCAGATAATCGTGTAATTTAATGAACTATAGTATTTCGATTTGATTGGACATGACCCCATAGCATTCAACGTGTTTGTCCAGCGGTGTAAGGGACTTTTCACACGAGCGATCCCGCAGCGGTGGCGATGTGTGATTTTAGAAAAACAATGACGTAAAGTTCTCTTATTCTTCCTTCGCGAGACATCAGAACTTCGTCTCTCCGTTACTCGAACACAATCGCAGCGGCACCGCATGAAGATTCTTTGAAATACACAAAATATTCAGCAGATGAAGCTAAGTTCTATATTAATTACTTAAATGATAGGAAAAACAGAAACTACGTGCTGATCTCTTGATGTTTGAGCAATTAAATTATTTGTTTATGACTTAATCTTCGGAACATGAAAACTTCATCTCGCCGAAATGTCGACATTCGTTCGCAAAGGTTAACCCTTAGCATTTTATTCTATTGAAAACTTTACCTGTTCTAACAATTTTTTCTATATTTATTTGTAGTATCACAATTCTACCACTTAACATTTTGACTGCCAAGTAAATAACCAACAAAACTCCCATGCAATCGAAACAGTTCTCTCAATAAAGCAAAAACTAAAGAGGCAAGTTTCTTCGTAACGATTACACTACTATTCTCCTTGTATCTCACACATTCAGTGAAACTTCGTTCGATGCGTCACCAAGAGAATGAATAATCAAGATTACGATAAAAATGGTGTCACCCGTATTCGGGTGACGTGGCAGTCAGTGTTAAAGGTAAAATTTCCCAAATATTCTTCAATAAATATACAGAGCGTCATATTGCCCCTCTATAATCCCGTGTAACTTTAAAATCACACATCAATAGACTGGGTTAAATTGATTTATTTAATTCTTTATTGCAAAATGACCAATGACATTAAACGATTAATCAATTTAAACTTTTCTACACGCAGGCGTTTACGTTCAACGTCATTGCAACTTCAAAGTTACAAAATATATTCGTTTCAATAAAACTATTAAAACCATTGAATGCATTTTTAATTTGTGTTCATATGTTGACATTTATTAATTTCATACCGCATAAATTTTGTTATAATCACGAAACAAAATTCGGCCCACAGAAGGTTAAGCTGTAACTGAATGAACTAACGTGAACTTCAAAGTGAGAAATTAACATCACGTCCGACCGCAAATTGTCGACCGTGCGTGCACTCGGATCTCCAGAGTCCGCGCCGCGGATTATTCCGCGAACCGTCCATACCCGTGCAACAACGACGTAGCGGCTGTCTCCGCGATCCCGACGAAACGCGTCACCGTCTCGATGGAAAATTTGAATCCGGTTCAAAGTTTCGTCCCCCGTCTCTGGTCTGTCCTCGCGGATCGTTGTCATTGTTGTTGCCGTTATTTATTGACCGTTCGACCGTACGATTGCTCGTAAATTCCGGCGACGTCGTTGCGCGGACCCGACCCGCTGCGAGCAAGTCTCGCCGCTAAAAAACGTAACGCCGGTCGGTCGGCGAGACGGGGAGCGGACTGAATTACGGTTCCCCGGCGAATTTGCCGAGGGGTCGAATTTTCCTCGGGATCGGGCTCGGTAAGAAAGAATTATGGGCTAGATAGCGGGGGATGACAGCCGCGCGACACGTACGGACGGTAATATTTAAGAAGGCTTCTCGACGTTCCGACGGCGATTCGGGGTGACGTCCGGCCGCACCCGATACGCCTCCTCCTCGGCCGCGGGAGACCGAACGCCGATAAAATTGATACGTCACCTTGTTTCAGGGGTTGACTCGTCCGCCAGAGTATTTTAATTGAACGGTGTACGAGCGCTAATCAAGTTTCTCCGCCCGCTGGATAATATTGATTTTCCCTCCGTTCGTTGAAAATTCAATTTTCTCTCTCTCCCTCTCTTTCTCTTTCTCTTTCTCCCCCTCCCTCCCGGCCCGTGCCCGTGCATGTTCTTCGAAACCCTTGCTTCAGCCCCGCCGCGTTAACGGACGTTTCGGAAGCCTCTTCCCGGCGAATCGTTCGCAATAACCGTCGGTTGCTTAACCCTCTAACCGCGGAGCTTCCGATTTTTCTGCGCGAACTCGACGAAAGACGGCGACTAACGATAGCCTGATAAAATACCCGAGAGAGGTAACAGGTCAATTAAGCAGGAATATTTGGAGAATTATTTGGAACGCGAATTCCGCGGTTGGAGGGTTAATCGTCGCGTCGGACGAGCCAGTCGGGCGTCGAGGGTCGTCGATTTCAGCGTGAGCGTGCTTTGGCCTCCGCGCTGGACCGTTTTTCTAATGGAATAATGAATCGGTTGTTGTTCGACTGAGACGATAAATAAACACGCCCGTTCGGTATAATTGATCGGCGCGTAATGAACGTCTACGTCGACGCGTGTCGTAAATATTATCACGGAGACTGAGATTCGTTTCTCCGTTTGACGCGTTAAGCGCCACGAAAATGTTAAGCGTTTTCCCATACAGTTTCTCTTTTGTGGCAAAGAAAAGTAGGAATAATTATGAATTATTTCTCGTTGCAACGTTTGCGTTACACTATTGTCAGCTTAGTTGCCTTACTAAACATTTTTATTTCACATCGGTTGTCTTGTATGTTACGATTGTTTTTCAGTCATTCAGAAGCGTCAGTCACCAGTGATTGACATGGCGCTTAACGTGTTAATCGGTTGACTTTATCCAGTCGAATACGTCTGATTGCCAATTCTATTCCTGCGTACATTTTTCTAACCGCGAGAAGAATCGCGCGAGATGCGAGTGCAAGGAAGGAAGGGTAGGAATGACGGGAGGTTCTCGATCCCTCCACCCCCTCTGGGTTCATACGATTCTCCCGGTCGTCCGGCAACGCGGGGATCTCCGGCGAACGCTTTGTCTCGATGGAGGGAGGCGCAGTTAAACGCGCCGAGAAAGAAAGACAGCTGGACGACGTGGCGGAACGGCGGACGGGTCGCGGCGCAGAAGCGACGGGGCGCGAGGGCGAGCGAGGGAGAGAAAACGACAGTGAATTTATGGGCCGGAGCGCAGCGGCGGCAGCGGTGGCGGCTCGGTCGGATATACCTACGCGCCGCGCGAGATTAATATTACTTTATGAATCCTAAGAAGCTTATGAAAACCCTGTCAAGTTAATAAATCGATAAAGTTTTCCCACTTTATCGGGCGGTTGTGCGCGACAACCG